ATGTGGCAGAGGCCATAAGCATTTTAAACAGATGTATAATCGTTATTACATACGTATCCAAATGCTCTGGGCTGGATAAATTTTTGCAGAAATATTGCATTTAAAATTTCTCTGTGTGTGTAAAAGCATAATAATAATATTTTCTTCTTGAAGAATAAATAAAACACTTAATATAATATACTAAATAGTTTCAAGTCTAATCGAATAATATTTTTAAATTTTCAGTGTATAATTGATTTCAAAAGAGTACAGTTAAAACTGATATTGCTAATATTTTGTAAGTTACAATGATTTTTTTCTAGGTATTATTATGCCGTTTCAAACTATCATTATTTTTCATTTTTGTTGTAATTATGTATTATTACTTATAATTATGTATTTTAATACTTTTAAATAGTATTAGTTTTTATACGTACTTGCATATTGAAGTTAATAAATACTTTATGAAATTGACAATTAAATATTTAATTATACTATTATCTAATCATTTGTACAAGAATCTTTGGTTCACACCTTTTTAAATTGCCCCCTTCCGGACAAAGTCACTTATGCTAAGGTTAGGCCTAATGATATAGTACCTATGGGACGATGTATCCATACATGTACGAATGATGGGTATACAATTATTGTATGCTACTATAATATACTCATAATACTATCCCGTGGACTGTATACAGTAGGTACACACAGACACAATATACATGAAATGCATATTATATATTTATATGCAACTATAATGTTATTGAAACACTATAATATAACGACGTATCATCATGCAACTTTGAGACCTCGAGAACGAATAATAGTTGTTGCAACTAGAAATGTCACCTGTTTATAATAGTATATCGTATAATTATTTATGGACAAATTGTTGATATCAATATACTTTGGCATTTGACGAGATAATTTATTAAATATGACATACGTTTGTGAGGCTTAGTTCAAATTTATATTATGTATGTATGTCATATGTAGTATACATATGTATGTATGTATGTATGTATGTATATATGTAATATGTATGTATGTATGTATATATGTAATATGTATGTATGGATGGAAACTGACCCTTTTAATGTTACTAAATTCTGAATCCGACCCTAACAAAACAACGATGAAAAAATCACTTTTACGTTCGACCTTTTTTATCTGCTCACCGTGGCTTGTTGCAAACGAGTGGAAGACTAAAGAGTTCTAATTAAAAAAACGCAATGATCTGCAACACTGATTTTAACTTAATCAATTCAAGTAAAACATGATACGCAAACGACCTTAAAAACGGCCGTCGTCAATATAACGTTGTTGTGAAATAATAAATATAAAACTCAATATCAACAAAAACCAGGTGAAACCAAAATATAATATTTGCCTTTAAAATATATACTATTATCATAGTTCACTTTTATAATACCTCATATTAGACTCTCGTTGTTTAAATGTTTCATACTTTATATCTAAATTGTTACTTAGTTTTCTTTTTTTAAGAAAATCGATATTTTTTTAATCTCATAAAATTATAATAGTAAAAAGTAAGTTTAAATGAGAAGATTTCTCTGTTGTATAGTTTGTTTCGAGTGTACCTTATCCTTACGTAATTTGCGTAAATATTTTCACATTTCTGTAGTTTTTTCCTCCATTTATTTTGAAACCAACTATGTATCCAATTTCCCTACAAAAATTATCCTTAAAGTTGAAAGTGAAGAATTTTTTCTATTCCAAAAGGTGATGGGAGACAAAAACAAATTTACGAAACCATTACATTCATCTTTTTACTCAAAATCTAAAATATATATTAGTAAAAACACACTCACATAAAACCAATTCAATGCTCCGCTAACTATAATTTATATTTCATTATTATATTACATATTTTTATTTTTTAGGTAGATCACATTCCAGAGATTATACTATGTTCCGGGAAGGCACACCGGCATCTGAAAGTGTTCGAATGTTTGCCAAGACCGGGCGCAGTGACAAATTGGATGATGGTGGCGGTGAAGGGTTGAATGGAGGGAGTGGCGGAGGAGCAGTTGAAGAAAAGGTACTGAACACTTTTATAGCACCCAGCGTGTCGACAGGAGCCTCCTGGACTCAATCACAGTTCTTCGTTGACGGAAACCATTCTAGGGTTAGTATTGGCTAATTTATTATAACTTTAAAATTTAATAAACGTAAATATTTTATGGTTATAATATTATTAGTTTAAATCACTTTTTCAGCAAAACTAAATTATAGTAAGGTTAAGTGCTGCCAGGGATCAGATTAACTGGAATTTGGATATTCCATAAAAATATCAAAACGTTTATAGTTGAGTAACATTAAAATATGTAATATGAGTTGTGATACGTACATAGAAGAATAATGTGTAATGTTGTGATATTTTTTCATAATTTATGACTTAATATTTTTATTCGTATATTCAGGTACCCATGTCATGAATATTTTGTTTGAGTGCAAATTATCTGTTAAAGAATTTATATAATAAAGCAACAAAAACAGGTATCCATATGGTTACTGATAGCCGATAGGTTCTATAATATAAAATTATATTTTTGGGATAACTAACGAATATTTTTAATATTTAGAGTAAATTATAAACTTCATAAAATAATAACGAGCAACTTACAATATTCAAACGATCAGAGGTGAGCTCAATATTCCTCATAACCGACATAACCCCTTGTGAACTTCCAGCACCAGACTAGGAATCTTACCATTACCCAACTCATGAAACTTCTCTATTCGTTGGAATTATAATATAATATTCAAACCAACAATATGATATGACTTGCAATTTTATATAATATTATTTGACTATAAATGTTTATCAAACTTGAATATCGATTGTGTGCAAAATATGAACTTATGCATTTAAATGTATTACTCATTATATATAAATCATAATTTTTAATTATTCATATAGTTCTCCTATAGGTTTATAGTTTGGAACTCAAAAATTCTTGTCACGAATTAAGTTTGAAACAGATAAGCAGACCTATAATACGCCTCCATTTATTCTTTCAAAATACTTTTTTCTAACATGCTTTCAGAATATAAAATTAGTTTTATTCTTTAAATTATTAGGTAGTACCTAGTTAAACATATTTAAATATTTTTTCGAGTCTGTAATCACCTTTTGAAGCAGTAAAAATTGTTCAATGTTTTACTAAGGCCCTCGAAAACGTGTCATTTTTAAGGATTAGTGCTAAGGTAATTCTTTCACTTTTTGTGGTCATGACTCGTCTTTGTGTGTGTAGTAAATTATCGTTAGTGTGTGTAGTAAATTATCGTTAGTGTGTGTATACTAATAAAGTAATAACCAATCACTCCCATTAAACATATTACGCACCCGCTTGCACTTGTCATTTAATTATTAGATACAAATATTCAAAATCAATATATAGACATGAAACAGGCAGAAATATGCCTTACCAAAATTTAGTACTTTCTGAGGTTTGATTTAAAAAATGTAAAGATGTTAACATTTTATAAACAAGATTACTTTATATATTACATCGTTTGGATTTATTTTTCAAATTCAGCAACATTTTGATAGGAATAATCATTTAAAATTTTATCAATTCTTAAATTGTTTAGGTATATTAAATATATTAAAAACTATTAAAAGAATTGAATATATACTTCGACTAATGCAAGTTAACTTCTTTGCCAAATCATAAATCTTTACATTTTTTAAATAAAACCATTAGAAGTAAGTACCTTAATTTTGGTCAGTCGCTAAAGTAATTTTGATTAAAAATGTATGTTTTGCTGAGGACGCTACACCCACTACGTCCCACATGCGTTGTACCCGTCTTAAAATTGCAAAACATATCAAAAACTACTATTCGCGGGTAAGAACCAATCAGGTAGTCATCTAGGAGTAACTGTTTTTTTCTCCTTCTCATTCTCGCCATAATTTTCATCTTGATTTTCAAGCTTTCTTTTTCTATTTAAAAACTTATAAATATTTAAATAAAACTTATTAATATTTCAGTGTAACGAATGGTGCAAAAATTTGTAAAAAATTTGGATTGTTCGTGGTGTGCTTTAAACTTAACTGTTTCATACGACATAATGAATTATCGTTTGATTTTGAAAGGGCAATAATGTGTAATACACAGGACAGTTCTGTGATAAACATATCATACCATATATATATGCCTCATCCATTTTGCGTTGTGACCCGTTTCGTGAAATGGATGGAAATTTCATCCAGTTCACGAAACGGAACTTCTTTTTTTACACATCACGTAATTACACAATGTGGATAACTTTTTATGAAACGGACACGGATTTTTAGTAGCCCGGAACTTGTGACAAAACAAATAATACGTGTATGATTTTTATTAATAGAAACAACTTGTCGTAATAACTGGTAATAATAATCATGATAATTATAGCATTCTAGGAAACCATATATTAATCAATCCATGTTCATAGTTCCAAGACGATTTAGCTCATTTTTTTTGTTCAGTGACTATGGCAATTATATTCGCCGAGTCTGATGGAACTCTATCAACCTTAGGAACTGGAACCAAAACACAATCTTCGACTTTAAATTGAGTAACCTTAAGGTTACTTATTTGTAAACAATGGAACTCATATTATTACATAATAATTTTAAGTAAAATGATATTTAATATGTTTTAACCTTCAAAATTTTTCCGGAAGCTTTTTGTAAGCCTTTTAATCCTTGTTGTCTCGATTCAATGATGTTTTCAATATTTTTGCATAAATTACAAACAATAGCAATAGCGGAGTTGATTTCCACCATTATTTCATTGCCACAAAGACTACAACTTGAAGCGATCATTTTAATCGTGGAATGTGGATCACCTGAGCTTTTGCTATCATCATTAAATCCTCTTCAGTTGATATTTTTTTGCGCAACTTCTGATGGTAATTTTGAAGTTGTAACACCAATTTTTGAGTCACTTTCAAATAAAGATTTATGTGGAGATCTACTAATTACGCGATGATGGGAACAATTTTTTTAAAATTGGACTAATTCTAAGGCAATGGGCCATACAAGGGGCCATACAAATTAGGACAAATGGGTGTATTGTAAATTGTATTTATATACTTTTTAAAACCAACTCAAAAAATATATATAAGTATCTAAATGAGCACAAGATCAAATCTGGAATACCCAATGAACATTTATTTTTATAATTTAAATCCACCAAACCTAAGGGTCAATAATTTTGTTTGGATTTTTGGTTGTTTTCTGTATTTTGTTCTACTGTTTGCATCTACTCTTTTTAATGTTGGTCATATAAATATATATGTAATTAATTTTATATACTATTATGTATATTCTGTTAATATTTATATGTGTACTGTACATGTACAGTTATCGAGAGATAAAAATATTATCACCTAATAACGAAAATAATATACGTATTATTTGATTTACTACGTTTATGTTTCCTTGTCCTAAACCACTTATATTTGAAAAGTAGATAATATTTATCTAAAGTGTGCCATGACTTATAATTATTAATTACCTACTAATAATAATATGCCTCGATGGGAAAAAGTTTGGACACCACGCTGATTAAGAAGAACCCTCACTCGTATTTCTTTTTTTTAAATTTTAAATCATATTAGTGGCTAGTAAAATGAATAATAATAACCTAACTTACGTTAATTGTAAGTTCCTATATATATTTTTAACTAACTACGTTAAAAATTTAATAAGGTTAATTACTAACTATAAAGTTTAAGCTTTTAAAAATGTTTATACTAACTAAACTTAATCCAGTTAAAACAGTTTTGGGTGTTATTATTAAATACAAATATATATTACATTTTGACCTTTAATGTCAAAATTAAGACAAGTAGTACCGACTTCAAATGTGTTTACATTTTCACGGAAATATGCAATGTTTATGTACATATAAGATATGTTTATATTATTTGTAAATAATTAAATTGAAATTATATATTCGTCTCACATATTATGCTTATCGAGATTGGAGATCAAACAAAGATTTATTTAATAATAAATGACTTTAATAATTTGTAAGGTCAATGAACTGTTGGATATCAAATTTATACTCTGATTCACTGTGTACACTTAGTTTATATATATTTGTCGTACATTGTAATCGTTTCAATAATATATAACAAGCTCAACAATGTACTATACTAGAAGAAATAGTTGTACAAATATTTTGTTGTGTTATATATCTAACTATAATTTTTTAATTCTTTCCTCCACAAAATAATGATTGATTTTACTATCATTTTTAAAAACTAATTCCGTAAGAATCCAAAGTTATTTCTCTGACGACTATAGTTATTTGATTATATATAGAACCCCAGCATTGTAGGGATCGTCAGTGGATGTAGCAGGTACTGTGGATGAAAGCAGTACACAATTTTAAATGAAAAAAAAGAAGCAAAAAAGTATCGAACATTTACACCGTCCTTGCAATTGTTCGAGTGTAAATTCATTCTGTTTATTTTCATCGGAGTTCCCTTTTTCTCTATCCTTCCGCTCTGACTCGGCTCGATACACGGAATTAATTTTCCGCCGATTACCCGATGTTTTCCCATCTCTTCTCCTTCTCCTTCCATCAGACATACACATCTACTTCCAACACCAACCCCAATAACCAGTATAATTGAAAATCCCCAGAATCGTTCATGGGATAACGTAAATGTTACCTACGCTTTTTTTCAAAACATAAATACTTATGTTATTGATAATACTAATGAGACATAGTTTAATAAATATTGTATATCTACACAAAATTAGGAGTCTAATCTGGGGTATCATCCTATGTAATTGACATCCCCTCAGGCGTTTCTCAAGGTCCACCTTAGACCTCTGCTGTTTTCTCTTTTTATAAATATTCTATTCGAATACCTTAGTAGGGCTAATAAGTTTCTTCTTTTTGCGGATGACATTAAACTATTTTTGCAAGTTTACTCTACGGCTGATCAGGCTGCTCTACAGAGTGAGCTTAATCTATTTTCTACCTGGGTAGACTGCCTTGGGCTTGTACTTAATCTTGAAAAATTTCACTCAATTGCCTTCGCTAAATCACGTTCGACGACAAGTAGAATATATTCCACCAATGGACTACCACTTAAACAAGTATCTCAAATCAAAGACGTCTGTAACCTTTATACTTCTTCTCTTTCCTTTAATCGACATATTAACACCACAGTAATACGAGCTCTTAAGGTCTAGGATTTATTAAACATAACACTAAACTCTTCACATCAGTGAATTGAATTCATTCTCTCTACTTTACATCAGTACGATCAATTATTGAGTATGGTGTAGTGGCGTGACACTCATTCCTTGCGAAACACCAGCATAAGCTAGAGCAGGTGTATAATCGTTTTCTAACTTACTTAGCATACGTAAGTAAAACTGACATGTCTCCCCATGACTATGTCCGATTGGCCATTACGTAATATGTTCTACATCCTATCTCTCTCTTCTCGTTGCACCGATATAGATAAACACTTTTTAACTTCTAAATAGTACCTTAGACGCTCCCAATTTACTTGCTGAAATTCCATTCAAAGTTCCTACACGTGGTACACGAAACCTAGCATAGTTTTATATCCCGCACCCCTCTACGGTTTATGCTTACAATCATCCACTACACAGAATGCTTAGAGTCTTGAATCTAAATATGGCCTAACTGTTTCAGCTACTTTCTCTATCTACTTAAATCATTTATACACTTTTTGTTTTTGTTATATCTTTCTTAAACTTTATTACTGTTAGTTGTTATTTTTATTGCCTACATACATGTATAGTTATTGTTAGTTGCCGATCGTCATAAAATATATATATAAATATAAATATAATATAATATTTGTGCTCATATTGTTTGTATTTGTATAAAAAAATTTCGATGGGCCTACTCTAGAGGATTTTATGGAGTCTGAACCCACTTAGAAAATTTCAGAGCATTCTTCTAAATGTGGCAATGTCGCTTAAACTATAAATTAGGTATAATATCGTTGTCTTCAGAAATATATACCTTAACATGTTATGTCAGTAATTTACCTACTAAAATGATCAGTTGTGGATATGAGGAGGATTGGTGGCCTTTTACCACCAACAACTAAATAACTAATCTTAGTCTTAGTTTTTAATACTCCAATGGTCACAAAAACATAATCGTGATTTATAACTTACATTCCACATTACAAGAAAAACGTATTGATATCACACTTATTTTTAAAACTCACATTACTCATTACTCGACATTTTTTATAGGTACCTGGTAACCTACCATGCACTCTATACGAATCAACTCGAAGGTACTGACCATGGTTAAGGCTGAACAAATAATAATCATTAATCATACACTCTTGAATCGTTTTCCATACTTAGGTACTCGCAATACAATGAACCTCATATTCAAGCAAATACTATATTAATCATCAATTACCCTCTAAAATAATAACTGCCACTGACTGCCAATCTAAATAATATACACTTTAGTTCAGGCATGTCAAACTCAAATTATTAATTGGGCCAAATTTATTGAATATTTTACATCCAATTTATTATTTGAAAAAAACATTTTATACAAATTGTAAATTGTTTTAAATGTAAAAAGCGTCACAAAATCTTTGACTACAAAAACATCCTAGTTTGCAATAACTTGCACTCATTTACGCTTAGTATAGTATCTTAAATGTACATACTATTAATGACTATATTGTAAAATCAAAATGCTTATTTGTTCAGGTGTCATTGATGTCACGCATGATTCCATCTCCAGATTGGTTTATTGGTATTGATTCGTTTGATCTGTGTGTGAATGGTAACTGGCTTGACAGTATCACTATAGAGGTTAGTATTTTATTATCATGATCAGCATTAATACACCAAGTACCTATATCAAAATATAAAACAAGAATATTTGTCTTGTTCTTAAAAATGAATGTACAATTAACTTCAATCATAGAGTTTGTGGTACATACTTATTTTTGTTAGTAAATAAAACAATTTCTAAAAAAGTAATTTTAATTGAATTGATTGAAAAATGTAGGTATTATATATGTTTTGTTTTATTTGAAGTATAAACTCAATAGTTTCTACCTTGCAGAATTTAAAGATGCACAAGTGTGTCGTTTAAAGAAACTGAAAATACTACGTAGGTACTAATCGTTATAATGTGTTCCAGTTAAGTTAGATAGTCACCGAAACCATAAGTGTGTAAAATATATTTTTTTTTTGTTTAAGTAAAAATAATACATTTACCCTAATTTTAAAACATAATTTAAAATAATTATTTAAAACAACACTTAATTATACATCAATCATTTCACGTTGATAATTTTCTTGAAAATTAAATAATGGTTATTTTACAATAAAATTTATTTGTGTATAGAAAGACCCAATGTAACTCTTAATATTGTACATATGAATGTAGGTAATATTATATCTAATTTAATGTCAATATTTTAATATAGGCTGATCCAATAGACGCGGGATGCGACAACGGATTCACATTTACAGCGCCAAACTGGCCTACCGATCCACAAGGCATTGTGTACCGAATAAAAAGCAACTATCCATCACACCCTGCCAGTTCTTTCTATTATCCTCAGTTCAATCGGTTGCCGACGATAGCTACTTTTCAATTTATAAAAGTATTATTCCATATTATAATGAATATATAAGGCGATCAATTTAAGTGTCTACGCTCATTGTTTCAAAAAGTTTTACCTTTTTTCAAAATTATTTGATATCATTGTAACAATTAATTTTAAAAATTAAACCATATTTTTTTTTACAAATTTTCATCGTTATTATTTTTAAGTTTTAATTTTTTGATTAACAATATACATTTTTCATTTCATAATTCACAGCACAATATTTTTTTGTATTTTCTACTTCAATAGAATATACTATTTAAATTTCATACATGTATAGTTAATTAGGAGTTTATTTAAAATTTATATGAACATGAACGGAGTAGTGAAACAATATTTTGTGAGGCACCTCTTTGCTACTAAACTCTGCTCATCTAAAAAAATTTTAACTTAATAATAACTGGTTTGAATTTAGATTTTATACAATTAAATTTTCCGTCAATACTAAAAATATTATTTTTTCATCAAATCATGAAAATATAGTATTTTTAAAAAAACTAAACTTTTTCAAATAAACAGACACTTTAGTAAATCATGCATTGTATTCATATAATTATATTTTTTTGCAATCCGCTGTTTTTCTCATAACGAGTGTGTTTTCTTTACTATTTTTTTTTAGATTAAAGAATACGAACAGTCTCTGAGCGGCAGGGGGCAAGCATCAGATCCAACGGTGAAAATTGAAGAGAGCGTAATTCAAGTCTTAAATGGTGAGAATGATGGTGATCGAGAGGTACAACTAGAAATGGAACAGGAAAGACGAGAACAAGAGTATAATAACTATAAAAGGTACGTTTGCAAAGTGGAACTATTGCAAAATATATTCGTACATTGCATCACATTTTACTTAGACTTATGATGCTTATAAGTAATAACTTATAAGTCCAGGGCTTGAAACTAAAGAATTTTTTTCCGATTTCGATTTTGATTACCAGTATTGATTTTTTTCGATTTCTATTTCGATATCGACTTCGGTTTTTAACGGTTTTAACAGGTATTTAAAATCGGTATCCAAAATCCAAGCCTTGCTTATCACTATAGTTAAAAATTAATCATATTTAAATATGATAATATACTAAAAACTAAAGTAGGATTATGTTATTATTTTAAACTGTAAAATATAAATACGAAGTATTGTACTTTTAATATAATAATATAATATACTATTCAATAATAGTGTATTAAAAAGTTAAATGGAATTACTTGCCTCTTTTTGGATTATTTTTATTATTTCTGATTATTTTATTTACTAAATAGGTACAGCTATATGTTATCGTACAAATTGACCAAAATACTAGCCATATTATCTTAGAACTCTAAAAATGAAAAATGTCTTTTTTCATGCTGTCTTCGTAACTTAGTTGGTTATACTAAACATAAAATAAATTAGTACTGCAATCAATAATTAATGATACTTTATTCAGTAGTTATGTTCATAACTTAATGATTACTAATTACTCTAATATAAAATGCTAACGAACACTACACAATTAAATAATAATGTGATATCGCACGAGAGAGTGATATACTGATACCCTTTTCACACATATATAATATATTATAAAATAAATATTATAATATTTTGAGTGTGTCTGTAAAAATTAATAGGTTGCACCAATAGAAAAATAACAATTTTATTGCACAGCCCACATGTGTTTTCAGATACACTTTGCATTCCCGGGATGAATCATGGGAAAGTGAACTGAATTTCACCCACAACAATTTGGTCCCAGTTTTGACTAAAGATTCAATTAAAAGATAAATGCATTTTAGATTTTGAGAGATGAATGTATTAATTTTACAATGTGTGTGTGTTTTTTGAGTCTGTATGTGTATACTCGCAGTGGTGGACCTAGGATTTTTTTATGATGGGTGCTATATCGATAATAAAACTCTCTATGCACTTATTATTAACAAATTTGGGGTGGAAACACATTTAATCTATTTTTTGGTAGCAGCTTCTATAATTTATCCGTTCAGAAAGTTCTACATAGTACATGATATGGTAATAAAAAATAAAAAAAGTTTAATATGCTGAACAGTGGATGCTTCGGCACAGTGTACCTATGCACAATAAGTAGGTAGTATTAAAATATTTTGATTTTCAATTTCAGTACCTTTTTTAGTGTAAGAGTGCATATAGTTAGAACTTTGTTTTGAGGGGTTAAAATTGAAAATTTCCAGTCGTTTTAAAAAGCGTAAATGAAAAACAAAATTAAGGGAAACCGAACATTTTTACGCAAACCAGTTTTTGACAAAATTTATTTGGTTTTATTGACATAAAAAAATAACCTCTATAATTTAGATACCTATTGAAATTTTACCTATTGCTTAGGTAAGTTTGTTTGTTTTTATTAAATTGCAATTAATTACTATTTATAATCATAGGTTCAATCATACATATTATTAAGGTTTCTCTATCTTCTATAAGTTAAATTCTAACCTATGTATTTTTATAAATATTTTTTTTTATTATTTTAATACACATAAATCATTCATGTTTTTTTTTTTGAGGATTTGTTAAAATGTTGGTGGTGATCGATTTAACCTCTATTAGTACTGCCTCCACCAATATAGTGAAGAGTTGCCATTATGTTTGTTTAGAAATCATAACTAATGAAGTTAAATTATTTATTTAATATTGTATTATAAACAAATGTAGCTATATGTGTATTATTATAATATATTAATTATTGTTTTAAGTAATGAAACAACTTAATGATTCATAGTTTGTTTTTCAGTATTGGTGATGACAAAGTATCAGTTTCCAACATCACATCGTCCATATCAATACCAAAAGATAACAAAGAAGCGTTGATGAACAGCATTTTGGACAACTATCATGTTCGAAAACATAAGAAAACTCACAAAAAATCAAGTGATTAATGATTAATATGTATTTATGTTCAGTTACCAAAACTGAGTAATCAGTGAGACTATACTAACCATATGAGTTATAGTTTAAAAATATAGGTTCCCATTTGAAATTTAAAAGTTACCCCACTAAATTTCTTTTTTAATTAATAAAAAAATTAATTAATACCAAATTCAAGAATATAATTAATGTGATTCCAAATTATTGTCACACACGTCAGATTTTCCTAATTTGCATATTTCATAGTGAAATATACTATGTCATAACATTTTATAGACCTGTATATCCTTAAAATCATCTGTCAGTAAAACCAACCCTAAAATAAGTCACAGGAACGAGTTAGTTGGTTGCAATATTTCTTTGTTGTAATATGCCATAATATCATTGTATAACAGCCATGTGTTAAACAGTAAATACCAATGTTCCATTAGTTAGGTATACATTTGAACAAAAATTGTATATTATGTATAAATGATTAAACTAAAACAAAAATTGCTTAAGTCAATGGCGCATTGTATTAACTACTTAAATTTTTACAACTACTAATTAGTAAAGCTTACAATAAATTGTACAAATGTAGGTAGGTACTCTTCAAGTATCCAATTGACAAGTGATAAACCGATTTTGGTACTTAAATGTTTGATTAAATAATTAAATAAAATACATAGTACGTAAAATATGATATGCGGTAAATAAGACAATAATATACGTATACAAGCACTAATAGATATTGTCATTAAAATATTACAGTATTAAAAAATAAAATACGACCACGAGTCACGTCAATTAGTTCTTATGAGTTATCTTATAACCTATGTGATTAACGTTAACCCGGTATAAGGTATACCTTCATAATATCATGTAACCATGGAAAAATGGTATCAGCACAGAGCAACATATAAGATAGTACACCTTATATTTAACCGTGCCCAGAAGAAAACAAATATGAAATAACAGATGATTAAAATTAGTATGTTTTACCTAACAGACATCACCGTATTGTTTTGTGTCGGGTGTCCGTACTCCATAGTCCATAGGTATGTAGTATTGTAGTGGGGTCGAGAGTATTACAATATTACATTTGAGTATGCGATAAGAGGTATAATTACTTAAAATATGGCCTTATGACAATACATTATTGTAGTGAGTGGGTACGATGATTATCACTATTATATCTTGGGTGCGAACGATATATAATTGATTACTTTTAACTTCTGGTCTTTATAATTGATAAATATTATTATGACCAGTGCCGATTTCACCTTCAGTAGGGTGAACTGCGTGATACCCAGATAAATGGGTATTACAATACATTTAGAGGCACAAATTAAGCTTACTGCATCTACTTGAATTTATTTGAAAAATGTTATATCTTTTGCCCTGGGTCATAACAATCATAATAGCTGCGGTATCTACTTACGAGGTATGACACATTTCCACACAAAACCACCCAACTTTGTGTAGCAATTTCTCATCAACCGATAAACGAAAAATGAAAATTTTAACTTGATAATTCATAGAAAAATAGCCTTATTAATTTATGAAATTTAAAGTATAGGTTACCATTTGAAAATCAAAAGTTGATAGTGGTTTGTCTAATAAATATAAGGATAGAAAATATAAAAAATGTATAAAATTCTTGAACAGCGTAAACCTACGATTTTGAAAAAAAAAAATTGAAAAAAACAAGACTTTTTGAAATAGTGAGTGTTGTTTGATAAAAAAATCGCTCAGTATACATGTAGCTGATTTATTTTAATTTATTCTTACTATATAACAATATTAAGTATTTTCTAAACACATACATCTACAAAATTCAAACACTAATCGTTATTTATCAAAAACGATGAAACGTATTTGATTAACATGAGTTTACTAACTTAAAAATAGAATGAAACTAATTGACTTATTTTAACTAACTGATCAACTGGTAAAAATTCTGATATGCATGGATTTTTGATGTGATTTAACATCATCCGTTATTTTGGGGTGAACATGGTGAAATTTCTGTGCCGTATCCATTATCAAGATAATCGGTCTCCAAAACAGTGTATTGTAAGAATTATAGCCCTTCCCCCAAATCATAATCAAACCCCTTGTAAGGTTTTAGTATATTTACTTCTCTTACAACATTTATGATAAAATAATACAACTGTAGAAAATAATAAAAACATTGACAAATTCGTCAAATATTTTATCAATTAATTTTTACAATCTATTTTAGAAACATGGTTATCTATTTTTTTATTTAAGCCAGGGTTTAAAGTGGGGTTTGAGTATTTAACAGTTTCCAAAACATAATACCCCACATATTTTTGGTTCTGTAATATCCAATTATTTATTAGGTTGGAAAATTCCTTCTCTAAATATCTGTTGTTTTTTTTTTTTTATAAAAATTTTATTTTCATATTTCCACGTGTTATGTGTAGGGTACCGGGATTGCCGATTGGGTGTCTGGTCTGAATGGAGTGCATGCAGCGTATCATGTGGCATCGGTGAAATGCAAAGGCGCAGAGAGGTGATAAAACATCCAAGAGGAGCAGGACGGCAGTGCCCACCATTGCTACAGACCAAATGGTGTGGGAGCGCCAAAGACTGTCCTCCACAAACACATTTTGAGTGGTAATAATATAAGTTATAATAATATGCATGGTAATTTAATATTTTGTATGTTATTATAATAATATATTATGTATACCGTAAATTAAATTATTAATAATGATTTAATTTTATAAAAAACACCATCTGCTGTTATAAATGGTGATCAAAAACTTAATGTGAATTCACCTATCCCATAATTTCCTTGATTCGAAAACACTCTTCACATACAGCATATAAGTATTATAATATATTATATTATTTAAAACGCTACGATAATGTGCCACACGTTTAAAAAACCAAATCGTATCACTACTGTTATTCATTGTCCACATCCTCCACACCATCATTTTTTAAGTTTAGTCTCATTATTTTTAACGACAGAATTGTAAAATTTACTGTAAAATATTTACTTGTATAGATAAGCTATAGATGTAATAAATAATATGTAGATCAATTTAAGACTATATTTAAATATTATATTATTATATTTTCAACAGTACCTACATAATATTATGTTAAGACGTGTATTATATTTTTTTTTTTCCATTCAATTGGAATAATTCTAATTTATAATTAAGATAATTATGTTTTTGACATCAAATATTACAATATTGTATTAGTCTTACGAGAGCTAACATTTAACCTGGTACAATATGTTTAACCATTGTACTAGTGAATGTCCGGCATTCCCGTGTTTTTTTTTTTGTTTTGAACAATATCACTATTATTAAAGACGTACTAATATTATTGAAATAAGCAAGACAATTATTGGATTTTTATAAAATCTGTTAAAAATTGACTATTTATATAATCTATATTAATAATTTATATTCTCTTTAGTATTTATTATGGTGTAATATATTTTTAGGATACCATGTTCAGTATGATTAAAATAATTGTATTTTGTATAATTTAGGTATATTATGTATTCATAATATCATTGATAATAAAATGCTAATATGTATTTTTATTTTAATGTAATACTGTATTGATAATTATACCAAACGATTTAATTCTTAATTGTAATCTATATCTGAATTTGTAAGAAAAAACGCACTTACCTATTTCATAATAGGTAATAAATAGAATAATGTAGGTAGTGAAATATAGTGTATAATTTGTGAAGTATGATAAAAAAGATTAACATATTAATTTATTTGTTTACGTTAAGCGAATGTGGCTATACTTATTTTTGTCCGTACGTTGTAGTTGATTTTTCTAATATTATTCTTGGACTGCATACATCAATATATTGCAACAATAATATTAATTATAATTTAAAATGTATAGGATATACGTTTTTTATTGTACTATAATTTCATATTTGTATAATATACAAAATAATAAAGTATTTATAATATAATATGATATAATGTCATATACATATTACGGTGTTAAACACCGTTACGTCCTGATAAAACCGTTTTTTGTGATGTCCCTGAATTTGAGGGAAACTGCTTTTGAATACGATTCTCACATTTATCATAATCATCTACACTCACAATATTTTTACATTTTCTCTTTGAGATTAATAATGGAGTAAATTGTTTACAAATTTACGAAAAATTTCTAGAATTAACCAATACAAAATTAGGTTTCTAGGACCACATAATATATTTTAATTTTTATATTTTCCATATACCTATAACTTTGGGAAAAAACAATTACAAGTTTTTACCTTATTTTGCCAATAACTAAGACATATACTTGGTACCCAACAATCAGAAGATAATACATTTAGCCGATGTCCTAATAGCCTCGCCGAGAGAAATGTTCGAGGAACAATTGACAGAACTTATAGGATTTGTCAATATAATCCGAAAAATAAATAAATGTATACAATAAATGAGTTGTAGATGAGAAAGTTTTCGAGTAGGTAATACTTATTTATTTTAAAACTTTTTAAGATTCTGACAACGAAGTGACGAATGTACTGATTTTACAATGATGTGTGTGTTTTTTTTTGTGTATTTTGTATGTATACGCAGGCCCTGATTTACGCATGTGCAGGCGGTGCACTAGCACAGGGCCCCCAAATTTGAAGGGCCCCTTCGGTCTTCCTATTCTATACTTTGCTACCATTAATAAAAGATATTTTTAATAAGATTTAGTAAGTAGTAACTATAACCTATTTAAGGAGGTCGCCGCAGCATGCGTAGTTTTCATACGGTTTACACTAATCAATAATAAGCCATCTATAGTTATATCAGTCATATTTTTTTACATTTTTCGTTAAAAAAGGTCCCCCAAGTTTATAGTGCACAGGGCCCCTATTTCACTAAATCAGGGCCTGTGTATACGCGATAGGTGGTCCAAAAATTTCTTCGATTTTCAACTAAAGTATCTTTGATGTGGAAAATTAAATTAAATTGTTACTTCTGAAAGGAAAAAATTGAAATTCCGTGTGGTTTTTAAAACCAAAATAGAGATTTTATAGGACACCAAATTTCAACAAAATCGATTCTGGTTTTAACTTTAACTCTAAAATAAAATCGTATATACATGACATATTAAATAACTGTTTACTTTAGAATTTTAAATAAGCCAAACAATTTTCAAAATATTTTCTAACTATGTATAAACATTTTCGATTTTTATAATTTTTTTTTTCAAACTATTGACGATAAAAAAAAGTTTTCACTCAATTAAATTGGTACGAAATCGTTTTATTTTAAAAACCACGATGTAGGGAAGATATTATCACTTAACTTATCAACATTGTGATTTAAACAAAGAAATACAAGGTATTATTGTTGTATTTTAACAATATTATTCATATTTACTTAAAACTTTTAAAGTACCTATATAATTATATTTTATACACGAAATTAAGTTTTAAAATGCAAGTTTTTCGGTTGAAATATATTCTTCATACAGAGGAAGGTTAGGTCCACTTTCAAACGAAAAAAGAAACAGCAACTTTAGGCATATCAGAAACGGATCACTAAAAGTATCTCCCGCTAAAACTGCTACGAAGAAAACTTCAAAAACAGTCTCTTTAGTATGATAAACTTGATTAATTAATAGATTGTACTCAATAATAATAGTTTTGTAATTATAATTTGTTTTTATCATTGATATAAAATTAGCATTCATAGAAAAAATCGGAATACATAGGAGGACCATACATATATTTATTGTGTTAGAAATTAAATCAAATAACTAAGGACAGAAATCAAAAGGAAAGTGATGCCTTACCAATATGTCGTCCTTTGTATTATTATAATATATTATTACCATTGGTATTAAAAACAACAAAATAAAATTGTACCAATGTCCAATATAAAATACATGTCATTGGAAAAATTTAAATATAATCCACCGCTTATGACTTCCACACAATTTCTATCTTACAATCTTACTTCACAACTTCTGACTTCTTCTTACCCCGGTCGTCCCTAACTAGGTACATTCATTTTATAGGTTTATGATAATATTTTAAATATTTCTATACCACACCTATTGTCTGTAAACCTAGACAACCAGTATTATTGATTATTACACTAATTTGAGTACAACTACAGTAGATAAATAGGAAAGTAAATATTTAAAGAATATTTTGAATTGATTATAATCCTACTTAAAATCTGTCGAACTCGAACAGTAAAAGTGAATCATAGTATTTCAAGTTATTTTTCAGTTGGATCTAATGAACTATATTATATAGCTTCCTATTTAGGTCCCCAGATATTTTCATAAAATGCTCAGCTATTATCAGTTTATAACTATGAACCTATTCACAGTGTACTACTATTATAAAGTGAATTTGACTCAAAACACAATAATAATAATTAAATATAAATGTAAGTAAGCAAATATATAATATGATCGGCTAAAAATGTAATCAAACAATCATAATATAGTAATACTATTATAAGTTATACTTTAATAGCAATATAAAATTTCAAATAGTAGTCTGACCTATATATTTTATAAGTGTACAATATACACACAAATGTTTTAACATGTGGTTTAAACTACAAAAAAAATGTTAGCAACCATTTTTACGAATTACAATGAAAAATTAGTTAAATGCTCACCGGAGTGAATAACTTTGAGCGGCACTAGTAAGGTTAAAAATATCATGTCGGTAGAAGTTTCTGAAATCCCTGTAACCATAATAACATATTAAAAAAATATAAATTATATAATATTATTATTTCCTCAATATGTCATGATGCATGAACTGGTTGTAATTTTAAAGTATTATTCGATTAGACTTGAAACTATTTAGTATATATTAAGTGTTATATTTATTCTTCAAGTAGAATATATTATTATGCTTTTACACACACAAAGACATTTTAAATGTCATATTTCTGCAAAAATTTATCCAGCCCAGAGCATTTGGATACGTATGTAATAACGATTATACATCTGTTTAAAATGCTTATGGCCTCTGCCACATATTTATTTTACGGAATAAACAATCTATGTACATTGCTTATTTAATTCTCTGAAATAGAATATTTTTCGTGATATAAATAGTTTTATACATCATAAAAATTGGAATTTTGAACGAGTATACAATTTTAAGTTTTTGAACTATAGAAAAGCGGATATAAATGGAATGGATCCATCTACTTAAACATTGATTAAATAATATAAGTAGGTATCGTTCTTTATTTATTTATTTTAGATTCTGAACGGAGCGATGAATGTATGGATCCTACAATGATGTGTGTTTTTGTATTAATTTATGCATATTTTTTTTGTGTTTCTGTCATCACGGCTTCTTGCAGCAAAAGTTTTCAAAAGCAATAGAAAAAACAAACAAAATACTAAGGAAAAACGGTAATTTTTACTCAAAACCAGTTTTTGAAAAGATTGATTTTGGATTTTGTGTAACTCTAAGAAAAATGACCTCAGATACATGCATTGTTCACTAAATATTTGTGTTAAAATCTTCTATGCAATATATAATTTTCAAAATATTTTGATTGATAACTTAAGCTTGATATTTTGTTGAACTATTTGCTTATAAATATTTAAAAGCACATGACATTTTTGATTATGATTTGTTTTTTTCAAACTATTCAATAAAAAGATTTTCACTGGGTCAAATAACTTGATTCCTCGTAGCCGTTGGTTGTTGTTAATGGAAATTAAAAAAAATTTGAGCTTAAATCCACAGTAATTTTTTATGAGCGTTTAAACTTAAAATTTTGACAAAATTCGTTGAAATCACGAAAATTAGCAAATTATATTTAGTTAGACATTCATAAAAAATTTTCTTTTTATATCTAAGATTTACAAATGTAATACAAGATTCCTTATAAGTCAGTCTAGTTTTATCAAAAAAAATTTCCACCGGAGAGTCAAATTAAATTTTTAAAAGCGTTTGAAGTTTAAATGTTTACAACATTGGGTTAGCACTCGATTTCTCTTGTAACGATTTCTTATTTTGTTGTATATCAAAAACGAATTACTTTAGACACTTG